TCATTCATGTCATCCATGACAGACTTTTTCTTTTTCTTTTCCTCATAATTTTAGGTCCCCGTAAACAGTTCTGATGAGAGGGGACGAAACCGATCGACTGGTGTATGTTTTGTTTTAAATCTGTCATGGCCTACAATATAAAATTTCTTGTTTTTAATGCCTTAATACGCTTTTGTACCGTTTCAAACATATTTAAATATATATATATATATATATATATATATATATATATATATATATATATATAATTATTTATTTAAAATATGATTCCAAAAACGTTACATAAGAAGTCTCATGTTTCAAAACAAGAGCCGAAAACTTCAATATAATTATTTAAATTAAATTGAGTTAAAATAGGCTCTGTTCCATCTTCCCAAAAAAATTTCGCTTGAAGATGGAACAGAGCTTGTTTTGAAACATGAGACTTCTCATGTAGCGTTTTGGAATCATATTTTTAAATAAATAATTATATTTATGCTCTACTTTTGTATAGAGCACTATTTTATAAAAATAATTACTAAAATACTAAGGGACTTTGGATTATTTACCTAACCAGTTCCTTCCTATTTTCTATATATTTTCACACACACACACACACACACACACACACACACACACACACACACACACACACATATATATATATGTGTGGGAGGGAGCTACTGTACAATATATTGTATTTTTGTATGTGATAAGGGCCTTAAATTAAAGGGCTGCCTCGAGAAGAACATACTTTTGTCCCGCCACTGGTTGCCTCAGGCTGTGAATTAAGAGCTGTCCTTCTCTTAGACTTCATGCCACCCAATGCTGATATGATATAATTCTTTGATATAATGTTGCGGTGTCCTCCCTCTAAAGAGTCTATGTTGGACTCTTCCGCCTACTATAAGATTAGTAGGAGAGAAGGCCGTGGGGGAACAGTCGACCAGACTGTTCATTTCTGTCGAACTCTCTGCATCAGCAGGGCAAAGTTTCATCCGAGGAGGTAGACAGTCCCTCAACCCGTTTAGGCGGGTTCAAAGGGAATATTTTTAGCCGATTTCTATCATTTATTGTGCCAATCCACTGCGGAATAAAGGTCTTACTGAATTCTTTGTTTCTTTGTAATTGTACTCTTCTCTGTCACGTCTTACCAGAAATTCCACGTATCACATATTTGGTCTGGTGTCCCTAAATTTTTTATTGTGAAAATGCATTGGAAATTGATTTTATTATGAAAATGCATTGGAAAGTGATTTTATTATGAAAATGAACTGGAAAGAGATTTTATTTTGAAAATGCATTAGAAAGTGATTTGAATATGAAAATGCATTGGAAAGGGATTTTACTATGAAAATGCATAGGAAAGGGATTTTACTATGAAAATGAATTGGAAAGTGATTTTACTATAGAAATGCATTGGAAAGGGATTTTATTATGAAAATGCATTGGAAAGTGATTTTATTATGAAAATGCATTGGAAAGTGATTTGAATATGAAAATGCATTGGAAAGGATTTTATTATGAAAATGCATTGGAAAGGGATTTTACTATGAAAATGCATTGAAAGTGATTTTATTATGAAAAATGCATTGGAAAGTGATTTTATTATAAAAAAATGATTTTTTATAAAAAATACATTGAAAGTGATTTTATTATGAAAATGCATTGGAAAGTGATTTTGACTATGAAAATCCATTGGAAAGGGATTTTATTATGAAAATGCATTGGAAAGTGATTTTATTATGAAAATACATTGAAAAGTGATTTTATGAAAATACATTGAAATGATTTTACTATGAAAATGCATTGGAAAGTGATTTTATTATGAAAATGCATTGGAAAGGGATTTTTGCATTGGAAAGGGTTTTATTATGAAAATGCATTGGAAAGTGATTTTTATGAAAATATTGAAAGTGATTTTATTATGAAAATGCATTGAAAGTGATTTTATTATGAAAATACTATTTTAAAATACATTGAAATGTGATTTTACCATGAAAATGCATAGGAAAGTGATTTGACTATGAAAAAAATTTCCATTGAAAGAGATTTTATTATGAAAATGCATTGAAAGTGATTTTATTATGAAAATACATTGAAAAGTGATTTTACTATAAAAATACATTGAAATGTGATTTTACCATGAAAAATGCATGGAAAGTGATTTGATTATGAAAATCCATTGGAAAGGGATTTTATTATGAAAATGCATTGAAAGGGATTTTATTATGAAAAATACATTGGAAAGTGATTTTACTATGAAAATACATTGAAAAAATTGAAATGTGATTTTACTATGAAAATGCATAGGAAAGTGATTTTATTATGAAAATGCATTGAAAGGGATTTTATTATGAAAAATGCATTGGAAAGTGATTTTATTATGAAAATGCATTGAAAGTGATTTTATTATGAAAATGTGAAAGATTTTATTATGAAAATACATTGAAATGTGATTTTACTATGAAAATGCTTGGAAAGTGATTTTATTATGAAAATGCATTGGAAAGGGATTTTA